TCCAGGTAAATGACAAGGAGAAAGAAGGCCTAAAAATGGCATTAAAAAATCAAAGCAGCAAAATCAACAGAAGTCAGATGTGGGAGGTGAGGGAGATAAAAAAGGAAAAAATGAAAATTGGAAACTAAAATAGTCTGTGGAACTTGCTGGTTGTAGATTAATTATATGGAAAAGAGACTGGAGATTTAGGGGAGTTCCCCTTTCAGTGTTTCAGCCTGAGCATTAAAAGCGCCAGTAGTACAATGCAGTGAGCACATCCAGCAGATCCCAGGATATATGACTTTGGACTCCAGAGAAAAGGTCAGAGCTATAAAGACTTGGGAGTCGGCAGGAAACTCGCTGGTAGTTGAAATTGTCTTTATAAAGAAGATTGACCACATGGTCCTTGTAAAGCAAACAGCAGAGAACAAAAGCTTGGAGACGTCAATAATCAAGAAAATAATACTTAAACAGGATAAGAAATGAGAGAAGCAGAAGCAAACAAGACAAACCTCCATGGAAATATGGCGGACTCCAAGGCAGGGTTAGGATTTGGGTTCACATGGTCAAAGGAGATGCTACAACATAGGTCAGACCGTGAAAAACCAACCAGGGCCTGAAAGGTAGCTTCTTTCTTTGTAGTGATGCCAATGGACAACTGGGAGCAGGTGGAGCTTGCACTGGTGAGAAGGCAGCAGCAGAGATTCTTTAAATAGACCTCACACAGTCAGAAAACAGAGAGAAAAGTCCAACAAGTAAACGCTGAGGTGAGGACAAGGGCAAGGGTATCTCGATCTTCTCAGGGCCTCTTTTTTCTTTTTTATTGTGATGTAAAACTTGACCCTGGCCGCAAGCAAGCTCAGGGGAAGGAGTCAATGGCAAGGGCACAATCTAGGATTCAGGGCTAAAGATTAATCTGCCGGGAGTAGGTTTCTGAGGGAGGTGATGGGTAAACAGACTGTCTTTCCCTTGAATGAATGAATGGATGGGGCCAGCTGAAGTTGGTGGGTGAGAAGGCTGTCTTGGACGTTAGGTTTCTGCAGTGTTGGGAGGGCAGCTGGGAGGCCAGACAGCTCCCCAGCTAGGAGTGATGTTCATCAATGGCTTGAGAAGCGTCCCCCAAAGGGCTGCTGAGGTAACTGACACAGGACACCTGCTGGCAGAAAGGCTGCCTACAGCTCTGCCCTTAGACCAGCCTCTGGCAGGAAAAACTTGGGTGTGGGAGACTAAAATTAAGTTAGGACAACAGGAGGATAGGATCCAAGATCTCCTTTGATAGATGCTAAAATAAAGGTCAGGGGTACAGTGGAGAGTCCACAGCTTAATTTAGTCAGGCTCTCACAACCCTGCCACACTCACTGGTTCTAAAGTGTCCTTATAAGGACAGAACTAGTCAATCTAGAATTATAGGGGTTAGGGCACTTTATAGTCAGTTATATCCTGAAGCATGACCTTATCGTGAGCTGAAGTACACCAAGTGCCACAACAAGATAAACACTTTTTTCCTTCTATAAACCACACAGTAAGTTACTAAGAAGGATCCATGTTTGAAATGTATCTCTATGCCTTTAAGAGTATGACAGTGTCTAGTCCAGGCTGCAACATGAGCCCACACTTGCTGAAAATGTAAAAACAAACAAATAAAAAACAAAAAGAAAAAAAAAAAACAACAACAAGTTTTCTTTCTTTCAAATGAATTCTCTTAACCTAAACCTCAAACATGGGGCTAAGCAGATTCCAAATTTTGTGCAGCACTCCATGGGTCCACACCCATGAAATATCCAGGGAAGGGCGGAGCCTCTCATTGCAGTTTCAGTTCCACGTAACCGACCACGAGGCAAACTCCACATGTGGAGTCTGTGTCTAGGGTAGTGGTTCTCAACCTGCGGGACGCTACCCCTTTGGGGGCTGAATGACCCTTTTACAGGGGGTTGCCTACCAGATATCCTGTATATTAGATATTTATATTATGATTCCCAATGGTAGCAAAATTAAAGTTGTGAAGTAGCAACAAAAATAATTTTAGGGTTGCGGGGGTCACCACAACATGAGGAACTGTATTGAAGGGTCATGGCATTAGGAAGGCTGAGAGCCACTGGTCTAGGGAAATAAGAACCACATTTGCTGAGCACTCTGTTTCCTACTTTTGTTCTACACTGGGTTTAGCAAAAAACTGAATCCACAACGTTATTCCTGTCCTTTTCCCAATGAGTAACTGCACTCATATGCAAAGTGAAAGTAACTTTATAATCGGGTACGCATTGTATTAGACTGAGTCAGGAGCTATAAAAAATGTGGAGTTTTGTGTTTTCTATTGAAAGTCATGACAGAAAAAAACCTCAAAGACAGGTAAAATGGCTCTCCATAAATGATGGCACAAAAAAGAACGCTGCTGGAATAAAATCATGAATTGTGATGATTTTGCATTTTGAACATCTATCAGCGGGGGGTGGGGGGTGGGTATCTCTTTTTCTGCCTTTAGAACATGGCCTTCCAAACTTTCATTAGCACTTTGGTGATAAAGATAAGCCATCCGCCAAGACCAGGATGACAGCAGAGATGTCCCAATGTAGACATCTGATGTGGTGCATGAGCACGCTGCTCCAGACTGCTGATACAGTCCCACAGACAAGGCCACACAGAGAGGCATGTATTCCTTTAAAATGGCAACGTGTGCTTTAAAATAATCCTTCAAGGGAAAAGAAAACCTTTCTGTGTGAGCAGCTCAGTTACTGCTGCATTTGTATAATGAAAACATTTTAATTTAATCATGTGCATGCCTGACTTTTAAAAGTCACTTTGAACAAAGAAAAATCATTCAACCATCAAAAAAAAAAATATATATATATATTGGTTCATACATACAACTGACAATATTTATTTAAGGTTGTATTTACTAGTTACTGAGTACCCGGAAACTGCTATGCTTTTAAAGGAAGTGTAATTGGACTTACCGGAGAGGAATACAGACATTCATTCTGTATCTTTTAAACCATTAAGGAGGGCTGCACTTGGTTTTAATTGGCTGAAGGGGGTGTTAGAACCCTAGCCCCTCCCCTTTTATCACAGAGGTCACTGCAACTGTAAAGATTACATGCTCCTGCTGTTCATTTCATTATAAATGAAACAGAAAACAAAATCAAACTTCAGCACAAATGGACGTTAAAAAATCCATGACTCCCATACTTATTGTAGATTGCAAATCCAGTCTCCCGGTTCCTTTAATACTGTGTGTGTTCTGAGACTGTTAGCATGTTCGCATACGTGTTCTTTTGAATTTAAATGTGATATACACCATAATATACACATGATCTACACCATTTTATCTTTGACAAACATTATCACTTCCTAATATAAATTCGGCTAACAACTCAAGAGCATAATGCCTGAATTTTGGGTTTGTTTTTCTTTTCTAGTTAATAGCAGGCACAATAAAAACAGTGCAAGCTCTGAATCATGCAACTCCTTGTAGAGTCAAATGTGTTAACATTGTACAAAATGAGTATTAATTAATGTGATTGTAACTATTGCTAAAGGCCTACCACAATTCCTATCAGCAAGACAACCATAGATTAACTTGAAAATAAGGCTAAAAAAAAAAAAAAAAAAAACCAAACAAACCCATAGTATACGGCTTATACTTTTCACTCTTCAGAAAAACAAGCTTCACCATCCATGGTCTGAATTAGTGGCATTTTGTTACAGATTTGTATCTGGCTCAATGGGAAAGCTCTCTGATTATACAACAGGTATCTGAATGCAGTGTTATAGCGATGGTAACAAGCATAGTAAAAGGTGACTGAAATCGGAAAACACCTAAAATCAACAATTCAGATAACACAGATCTTTATTATTAGCTACAACATCCAGTGTGGTTGGGGAGGGAAAAGTGGCAAGAAGGGAATTAAGGGCATCTTGGAAACAGATCCCAAACACTGCCCTTTAAGAGTGGCACGCTAAGGCTAACCATCAGTTGAACGTTGAATTAATTTAGCATCCTAAGACAAACGTAACATTTGCTGTTATCCTGCTTCAAGTCTGTTTCCGAATCTTACAAAAAGTTCGCAGAGGAATCTTCGGATATGAAGCCTGACTTGACGGGCAGTATATAGACACACACACACACACACACACACACACACACACACACACTTCCTATTCTTCCCTCTGCTTTTACAAAGGAGGTACAGGTTTCTAAACAGCAAAATACTTTACAAAAGAGGGCCTGCATCCTTGGCATCTAAGGACAACAGTCTGCTTCATATGTATTTTGACTTATTACTGTCTTTGGACGACTGACTAAATCCTTAAAAAAAAAAAAAAAAAAAAAAAACGTTTCCCCCAATAAGGAATATATTAAAGTGCTGGCGGGAGGTGGTAGCGGGGGTGTCACGATAAAGTGTTTCCAGGAAGCTTGTTTTTAGGATTCAAAACAACCAGCAGAATACGCGGCCAGAAACATCTTTGATAAATGCTGGGAAATGAAACTTAGGTCCTTCGTGTCTGTCCCCTCTGCTCCAAGGCTTGCAAGGTAGGGCAAAAAGCCTTTCTGGTCGACTCCAAACGCGCACTTCATCACAAGAGGCCCGGCGCTCCCACTCCAGTCCTTCAACCCCAAATGCTGCGTGAGAGCACTAAGAAGGGAGAGGGGTGCGAGGGGGGGGGGGGTTCCTGGCAGCTGCCCCCTCGCTTTCTTTGCACTTCGGCTTCCCACAGTTGCGGTTGTTCCCAATCTTCCTACGTGTGCGCACTGGAGAGTGAGGAGCTTCAGCCCGCTCTCCCCCGTGGTGGGGGGAAAAGGGGACCAAGGAAGCAGAGCAGAGCGAGGAGGCAGGGACGCCGATGCCCCGCGGGGCCCTCCCACGGTGGCGCCCGGGGTGCGCAGGGCCCGCGCATCCCGCCACCCTCTCCCCTCTCCTCTCCGGGCGCCGCCTGGCCGGCGGGGGTGCAGCCCACACTCCTGCGGGGGCGCCCGGGCGCTGCGCACCAGCCCGAGAAGCCGGGATCCCCGAGCCACTCACCGCAGCAGCAGGAGCCCAGCAACAGCGCCGCCACCAAGGGCCACATCTCCGCGCCGCCGCCGGGGGGTCGCCGCCGCAGGTGTCTGGAGCAGCCGCAGCCGCCGCCGCCGCCGCCTCCGCCTGCCTTCAAGGGAACCGACCAGCAGCGCCGCAGCAGTGACAGGCAGGAGCGGCCGCCCAGGCTGCCCGGGTGCGCGCGCGCGCGTGCCCGCCGCCCC